TTTCTTACCGACAGGGGAGGAGGAAGGAGAGGAGCCAGGTTTCCGCTTCTGACTCAAAGATACAGGCGTCCCAGCAGCAACGTACTGGGCAACAGACTCCAGTGTCTCGATAGGAGAAGAAGATCGTAAGCGAGCAACACAACCATCAGGAGAGCGATGGACGTCGGCCTGCACAGTCAGGCGGCGTGGAGAGCCAGGAGACGGAGGAGAAGGACGGGAAGGAGGACTAGAAGGAGAGGAAATAGAAGACACAGGAGACGTGACAGACTGGGTAGAAAGAAGGGGAGCCCTAGACAGAGAACCAGGAGGGGGACCCTTCGGAACAGAACGGAGGGAAACAGGGGAGGTGGTGGTGGGTGTGTCCGGGTCTAAGGCTCGGAAACGGTTGGGAGACTGAGGAAGGCGGGAAGGACGAGGAGAGGAAGAGCGCACCACGCGAGCAGAGGAGACACCAGCGAAAGAGGGGAGACGATGAACTTGGCGCAGAGCCTCAGGAAAAGACAAACGGTCTCGGTGCTTCAAGCTGAGGACAGCCGCCTCAAGTTTGTAGCGAATACATGCACGGGAGAAAGTAGGGTGGGCCTCACCGCAATTGAGGCAGCGGGCCTGGGAAGAAGTGCACTCTAACTTAGAGTGACCCTCGCTTCCACACAGGGGACAGAGAGAGACAGGACTAGAGCATTTGAGGGTACCATGCCCAAACCTCCAGCACTTACCGCAGAGCCTCGGAGAGGGAATATATTCCTGAACGGAGCATCTGACACCAGCAAGAATGACAGAGGGCGGAAGGGACCTACCATCAAAGGTAACCTTCACAACCCTAAGGGGCAGACGGCGATGACCACGAGGGGGACGAGTAAATGTATCCACCTGGAGTACAGAATGACCCTGAGCCTCGAGGATATGCTTGATATCCTCGTGGCAGTCCTTGAGATCCCTAACACCGGTCGCAACATGGTGCGGGAGGAGAACAGTGCCAACACTGGCATTCAATCGGGCGTTCTTCGAGACCCGAACAGGGGTCTCGCCAAGGCAGGATAAGGCGGCCAAGCGGGTGGCCGCATCCTGAGAAGGAGCAGCAACGACACGGGTACCAAGACGAGTGGGGTTGAAGGTGATAGAGGCATCCACGGAATCGACAAGATGCCTATGAAGGGAAAAATCATCAGGAGGAGTTGAATCCAAAGGTAGGAGGTCAAAGTATTTAGTCCACGTATCAGGACCAAACAAAGCATGGAACGAAGTAGGATGGGAAGGGAGCATACGAGAGCGGCCATGGCGGGGACGGCGATGAGAACCCTTAGAGAGAGACGGGTCGAAAGGTGCAGTAGTCACAAAGGATGGAGCCGTGCAAGGGGACGAGACAGTCACCACAGCAGGCTTGGGGCTCGACCCAACCACAGAGGAGGGAGGGGAGCAGGGAGGAAGAGTCCGGTCTGGGCCTAAACCGGGTCCCGTAGCGGGGGCTACAGATCCCGGTCTTCCAGGACGGTCCGACTCAGGGGCCTGGTCGCCCACCCCATGAGCCTGGGTAATAGAAGGCAAGTCGTTATCCATACAGCAAACCAAACAAAAGAGATGGGACCTGGAACCAAGGGATACCACCTACCAGGGCAGCCAGGGAGGCCGAGCGCGGGCCAGTGCAGGAAGGGTGTGTCGTCCCCAGCGGTGCTCCCCCTTTTCAACAGGGGAGTCCTACTACTTCGTTCATTCTCCCACACTGGTGCTAAGACCCCAGTCCCCCTATCGCCCCAGCCTGGACACCCAACCATCCACTCAGGGCGGCCTCTCACAGGCGACCCCACCATCGGGTGGTCCGATGGCTCACAAGGCGCATACATGGTGCCCTTCAGCACGTACACCACCCAAAGAGGGGGGCACAGGCAACCCACACCGGTCCCAGGGAGGTGTACGTGAGTCTCTCACCACGGCAAGGAGGCACCACGGAGGGGTTCTCTGAAGGTGAAGAAAGTGTGTTTGACGATTCAGACAACGATGAGGATTATACACAGTTGTCGGGTGATAGTAGCAGCAGCAGTGAAAGTGAGAATGACCGCCATGCCATGGCGAGGCCTATACGCTCTCCCATGCCTCCTCGCCCATTTTCTACCCCAATTCTACCACGACCTCACAGTTCCTGTGGATATTTTCTGTTTGAGGGTGACGAGTCAGAGGGAGGTGACTCCTTTTCTGGGTTTAGTGACTCAGATCAAAGTTTTATTGAGCCTGTGGCTGGTACCAGTGGTGTAACTGGGCGAGAAATTGTCGCGTCAGCAGCATCTCGCCCGGCCAAGCGCCACCGCATGGCACCACATGAGGGACCAAGACCCTCGTGTTCACGTGCACCCACCTCACGTGCACCCACCTCATGTGCACGTAGCCGCCGTGCTTCTCGCAGACGGTATTCAGCTCCTGGTCACCGGCATGCATCGCTTCCTCGCCGTCTTTCCTCTGCATCTCGCAGGACGCCTGGTGTACTTGAGTGGAGTGATGGTGACGATTTTATTCCTAATATTCCTCACTTTGACGATAAAGATGTAGGGATTACAAACCTTTTCCCTAATCAAGGTGAGGACATGGCTGAGATGGAATATTTTACAGCATTCTATGATGAACCACTCATGGAATACATTGTACACCAAACGAACCTGCATGCTGCTTACCTGATTGAGAGGGAAATCACAGAATTTTCACGACTGCAGCGTTGGAAAAATACCACAGTGGCGGAAATGTATGTGTTTTTGGCACTCTGTTTGTTGATGAAGCACTGTCACAAACATGCAATAAATGACTATTGGAGCAAGGACAAGACAATACCAACACCTTTATTCGGGAAATATATGTCACGAGACAGGTTTCAGATACTCCTCAGGTGTCTACATTTTGGAAGTGTTCAGGACCGAACACCTGATGATAGACTGTGGCGAGTGAGGCACTACATGAACGATGTTATTGGAAAATTCAGAGATTTTTACGTACCAGCACAGAAGCTGGTGGTTGATGAATCTCTCATACTTTTCAAGGGACGTGTTCCATTCAAACAGTACATTCCCTCAAAACGAAACCGATTTGGCCTGAAATTTTTTGTTCTTTGTGATTGTGAGACAGGATACGTGTTACACATGATTCTGTACTCGGCTAGTGATGTAGACATTCCCGGTAACGACGAACATGGATTCTCGGGGAGTGTAGTGAAGACCATCATGGCTCCGTGGATGAACAAGGGACACATTTTATACACAGATAATTACTATACAAGTCCCTTGCTAGCTCGGTTCTTGCTAGAAAATAGAACCGGATTGGTTGGTACAGTAAAGCCACAACGAAGGGAAATGCCTGTGTTTGACAACGACATTGCAGTTGGTGAGTGTCAGAGAAGGAAAAGTGATAACATTCTGTCAGTTCGGTGGAAAGACAAAAGAGAGGTGAACTTGTTGACAACCATTCATGATGGAACAATGGTGAACAGTGGGAAAGTGAGCCATAAAACAAACGCACCACTATATAAGCCAGACTGTGTTTTAGACTATAATATCAACATGCGGTTGATTGATAAATCAGACATGATGATTGGCACTGCAGAGTGTGTGCGGAAGACATGTAGGTGGACGAAAAAAGTGTTCTTCCATCTTGTGGACATGAGCATGCTGAACTGTTTCAACATGTACCTTGTGAGAACTGGATGTAAGCCCACTTTCCGTGACTTTGTATTTGATACTGCAATACAGTTATTAGGAAAGTTTGCAAAAGATGTCCCAGGTATTCAGCGGCCCATCATAAACCCACTGTTGCAGCATGCTGGTACTCCACGCCTCGCTTACACTGAAGGCTTCCTAGCACACAAACTTAAGTATTTGCCACCTGGTGTGAAGCGTGCAATAGCCCAACGTGATTGCTTGGTGTGTAAAACAACGACACGTAGAGACAAGAAACGGAAGCTTGTGCAAACATGGTGTGAAACGTGTGGTATCCCATTATGTGCTGTCGACTGCTTCAATGACTACCACAGTCTAGAAATCTTCTAAGTGTGCTTCAAAGTGTGTATAGCGTGTGCGAGTGTGTAAATATGTAAACATATAAGCAGATAGCGTGTGCGTGTGTGTAAATATATACAAATATAAGCAGAACATACAATATAATAGACTGTAATGACATATTATATTGCCGTAATTGAAAACATTTGTGTGCGCCTGTGTATACTCAAATATGCAACAATTATTGATACAAAATATGTTCAAACAGTATTTGAAACACAATTAGTGAAAAAAAATTAGATAAAATGCGCTTAGACATTGTAAATAAATAGCGCAAAAATATATTTGTGGCAACTCTGGCTGTTTGAGGACCGCGCGCAACACCTCCCGGGCGTGTACTGCATGAGCGAACATGCAGATTGTGACGTCATCACCGAGCTTCTCGGCTCTATTGCAACAAAAGTAAGTACAATAGAATTTTTTTTTTATTTTTCCCGTGATCAGTGAACAGAACTTAACAGATTAGCAAAAAAAAAAATTTTTTTTTTTTCAAAATGACATGCGCCTGTGTGGATAGCAGGATATTAGACCCCGAGCATGTTAAGGGTTAATGATTGAAATGCTAATAGTCAAATTCTTACAAATGTTTAAATCCCATATGGTGCTGCTATTAGTATACAATCCATCATCACACCACAGACACTCACGCATGTACATATTGAGGTATTTACACAGGAACTGTACAAACGTCCTCAACAAAACGTAAACAGCCCCCTTCTATGTAGAGTGGACAGGTTTAAGACTTAATATAATACATACATTTTCTAGTAAACCATACAATCTGTATAAATGTCCATGGTGAGAATGGTTTATAGTACAGCAAAGCAAAATCGACTCTTATCTCTGACTACTCAAAACAAAAATTATAAATATATTCAGTAAATCAAAAAGTCTATACTTTAAAAAGTATAAAGATTTCAGACTAATTTGTAGTGATGTTTAAATGAAAGTCCCACAAAGACTAACCTGCAGATGTTGATATGCCAGCTCCTGCCATGGTTATAACATTCTTGCACTGTCCACTCTTGATGTATTTCACAACACCTTCAATGTTTACCTCTTCCAGTACCTGGAACACACAAGTAAATGGAATAAGAGAAAACGTAACATTAAAGTTGACATTAATCACTCATAAAACAGGAAAACCCTTGATTACCGGGTAATTAAACATTTATTATTAAAACTTCTTCCATGTGTGGCTCTGATATTTGAGTCCATGACACTAAAATGGAACTTTTGTTCAACAACAAACAGAACATTGGAGTGGTAGTAATAATTCTTTCAAGTTACATTACAATTCATCTGAAACTGTAATTGTTGACCCCTCAACTTTTAGTCCAAAATACCTGGCACTGAATGCAAGGAAATGCATTTTACTGGTAGAACCCCAATGGCTCCCAAAAGCTACCTTGTTGAGATTGCTCTTCCACTGCTGGGTCATATCAGTCACAGGAGTTCTGTTTGGCCTACCAATTCCAAGAGTCAGAACCTTTGTCCCCCCCCCATCCTCTCACAGAGGCACAGGGAATAAGTGACATTTCCCCACCTCACAGGGAAAGTATCCAAAAAGTCATTGAGGTTTTACAGACAACTGCAAGGATCACAGAAAAAGCTCTGAAACTGCCAAACAACTCTGCAAACAATTCAAACAAAACAGCTGGTTCACTCAAAATTAGGTTGAATGTGCAAGTGCCGATATCCGTCATCTCTGAATTGGTTCTGGAGCCATTGAAGAACCTACTGAAAAAAAACGACAAACGTGCACTGAGGAGAGGATTCGGGAAACCATCGGGGCTCTACCAGATAGAGGCAAATCATATTTATATACATTCAATATTGGATTTTTGGGAAAGCCACTTGGCAGCTTCCTGAAGCTAAATAACCACAGTTAAAAAAACATGGGATGCAGCGAAGGAGGTGGTGGTTCTACTTCTCCAGGGAGCAGGAAAACTACCATGAACCGAGACAAGGAAAAGATCCCAGGCCAGGAAACTTGGCTCAAAACAAAATAAATGACCAATTTGGACCAAGGACATTAACCAAATACCAGGCTGCCAGAACCCTGTAAGATTGCCAAAACCCCCCAGCAGAAATATCAACCCAGGACTTGTCAAGTTTTCTGCCACTAAAGCAGTGTACTGTACTTACAAATGTTGTTGGCCCAAGCGCAGACCATAGGTTGGCTAGACTTAATAACACTGCAGATGACAGGATTAATGCGAGCCTTGGAACAGGGACAAAGGAAGCAGGGTCAGCCAACAATGCGTCAACCAAGACAGAACTGGTGGCCCACAGGTAGCAGTGAAGAGCCACTACTGGACACAACAAATTATGCACCCTGCCTGGACCAACAAAGCATCAATCATCAAAGGGGCCCCTTCAGAAGCTACCAAACTCATTCTTCACCAGAAGAAAAGAGCAGGCCGCTGATGAACAAAATGCCCACCAGGGCCAAGGAAGCAGAACCTTCCCCCCTCCCCGCCTTTGGAGAACGCATAAAGCTTCCGCACCCCTTCAGAAGCTACCCGACTCATTCTTCGCCAGAAAAGAAGAGCAGGCCGCTGATGAACAAAGTGCCCACCAGGGCCAAGGAAGCAGAACCCCCGCCTTCGGAGAAGAGCAAGAAGCTTCCCCACCCGGCAGCCAGAAGCAAGAGCTAGCAAAAACACTGCCATGAGAAAGACATCTCTGGCCAAAGGGGACAAACCATGAAGTGAGAAGAGAGAGACATTGAAACCCTGACAAGAGACCAGGACTAAGGAGGAGCATGAGCAAGTCACAGGTGAAAAAATCCATGAAACAACTTGCAGAATAGTAACAAAGACATATTGACGCCGAATACAAGCAACAGTGGCTCTGCATATGCTGAACAATAAGAAGCAACAAAATGAATGCCAGGCAACATCATACTATTGCCATTGAAGAAAAAGACAAGTTGGATGCTAATAATCCCACTACCTGCTCGTCATCCAAATGGTGATACGTAGACCCATGTCAAAAACTCCAGATGCATAGAGCAGAGGTGGTCATACCAGTGAGGTACATCGCCAAGGTGATGTACTGACAGCAGCAGAGCCACACAATACATCCGGGTTTGGATATCAGGCTAGAAGAGTTGGAAACCATGGCTGTGCTAGCCATCAAGAAGCCTGAAGGATGACACTTCTTGAGTACAACTCTAGACTGGTAAGAACCCGGAGCAACAATTGAACCAGGGGCTGAAAGAGGTGCACCTCAACCAGTCCAGTCAAAAAGCATGCACTGCAAGAGCCTTGTGATTGGGGGAAGACCCGCACATAGCAAGGTGCTGGTATCATGCTAATGCAAAGAGGTCCACCTCTTTGGACCTCTTGCAAAGCAAACAGAAGAATGCATCATCAATGGTCTACTGTGGAAATGGAACAAAATAACCCATTTGTTTGAACGAGATAACCCATCTGTGAGAACACTGGAAACACCCTAGATGTGAACTGTGCAGAGAATCAAACACCAAGAATCCAGAAGCTTCATGAAGCATTCAGCTCCAAAGGAAAGCCCCCTGCAGTTCAGGCAATGAACAGCAGCAGTCGGAATGGAGCCTAGAGGAAACTAAATTCTCCTCAGGGCATGCCACATGGACACAAACTCCCGCACAGTACTATTCACCTGAAAGAACAGCGCCAGCCACAGATCCTACGAGGCCTGGCAAGCATTGGTCATGAAGCCCAACCCAAGAACTGAGGCATCTGTGAACACATTGAAAAATGAGGGAGGATGATGCCACAGAACTGAACCTGAAGAGAAGGCTGGCAAAAGTCCACAAAAGGGCAGGTGGGGCCTGTACCCACCATTCCTGGCAACTGCAAAATGGGCAGAACTGGAAAAACAAGTAGAATGCCCAGAGCCAAACCCTGCCCAGCAGGAATACAACTCAAGAGACACTTTAAGCTCCTCGACCAACCATTCTACCAACTGACAAGTTGCCTGGGGCAATCCAACACCAGACAGTGATGAAGCTGCAGGCAGCTTCAAAAAAAGCTTCGGTAAAGCCACCGGAGGAAGGGACAGAGATGCTGACTAAGATTCCCAAATGAGGCCCAGCCAAATTCAAACCTGGGAAGGAACTGACTTCTGCCAGTTCATCAGGAACCTGAGCCTCACAAGCTGAGAAAGTGCCGCTTATGTGGCTTGTTGACATACGGAGTGACTGCGAGCTCAAACCAGCTTCATTTTCCATGAACCTTTCTGTTGTCTGTAAAGCTTCACCGACTTTCTGGATGCTGTCCTCATGAGGTGGCATATTGTCACTTGCTCCCTGCACTTCTGTGAGGGGACCAAGTTCTGGTTCTGGCTCTGGTTCCCAGTAGGTAAAGTAATTACATCAGTTGCTGGAGTCTTGTTTAAGTGTAGTTACCTAAGTGTAGTTACAGGATGAAAGCTATGCTTGAGGTGTCCTGTCTTCCTAGCACTCTGTGTCGTACAACACTTTGAAACTACTGATGGTTTTGGCCTCCTCCACTACATTGATTAACTTGCTCCAACTGTCTACCACTGTTTGCAAAAGTGAACTTTCTAATGAACAAACATCAACTTTCTAATGTTTTTTGGCAGCTTTGTTTAGTTAGCTTAAATCCATGACCTCTTGTCCTTACAGAAAAATTCTTGAATCCTGGAACTATATAAATTTTATAGATTCCTATTACTGTTTTGTGCATAGTGATCACATCGCCTCTTTCTTCTGTCTTCTAGATTTGGCGTATTTAATGAATCTAACCTCTACTCGTAGCTCTTGTCTTTCAGTTTCAGAACCCATTTTGTTGCATGTCTTTGCACCTTTTCCAGTTTGTTGATGTGTTTCTTGATGTATGGGCATCATACAACCACTGCACATTCCAATGTTGGTCTCACAAAGGTGGTGAGAAATGTGACCCAGTTGTGGGGAGCAATCTCGGCAATGTAGCTTAAGGGAGCACCGAGGGGCTTCCCCAGAAAATGGACTGAAAAATGTGAAGATTAGACAAGAATACAACAGTGCCTTTAAATTTCTTCACCACCACCTACCATTTTCCCAATCACTGGAATATTTTCATGAACTCCCACCCGTCTTGTTTTTACACTAGCCTCTCGTCAAAATAGCTTACTCTTTTCTGTAACGTTTTTTCACATCTTTCCCATGCTTCTTATTCCTTTACATTCTTTCTGTCTAATCTTTTTACATACTATACCAATTACTCTTATCATACTTCATCTCTTTCTCTCTCTCTTTCCCCTACTACTTGCATCCACAGAATCACCTTTTCGTCCTCGAAAAGAGGGGGGTTGCAAGAATCACCTACTCTTGCAACTTCCACGACCCACCGAGCACAATTCTACATTCGTCACATTATTCTCAAGGCGCACTCCCACTTTACTAGTCATTTCACCCAAAATAATGATTCCATAAGTTGACCAGACCACACACTAGAAAGTGAAGGGAGGACGACGTTTTGGTCCATCCTGGCCCATTCTCAAGTCGATTGTGTCGACTCGAACGTCGTCGTCCCTTCCCTTTCTAGTGTGTGGTTTAGTCAACTCCTCGTCTGCAAGTGGTTCCATAACTTCTTGGTATCAAACCAATTTCACTGTCTAAACAACTCCCCCATCAATTCGAATGATTAATTCTCTCACTTATCATCACAATCACCCCGTCACCTGAACCCTTTCAAACTAAAATTTCACATGCAAGGGAAAGGAACTATCAGGGGAAAGTGCCAAGCCATTATGACTATATACACAACTTGGGAGGGATCAGGATAAAGATTTAAAGATTTGGGGGGGGGGGGGGATTTCATTGTCATCTACTAACCTTGATTTATTAAAATATCAAGTCCATCCCAACCCCTCTCACTCCTGCTCCTTTAATACTTATCCCATTCTCACTGGGTAAAAATACACAAGATATTAACACTTTCGCGCTATCTGGACGCGCCGGCGCGTTCGGTTTCGTCTAACGTAAACGCATAGTGGACATAAAGTTATGTCAACTTTTAAAATATTTGTATAAAATTCAATTTTTATCCGATTTACTTTGGGTTTGTTTCAAACTGCGCGCTATGAGGCTCTCTTTCTCACCACTAGGCTGCATGGTACAATAAGTTCATGAAAGGTGTGGATAACGTCGATCAAATGGTATTTTGTCCCAAACGGGTTGCAGGTGGGTGACTTTAGCCGTTTATACTGGTAATTCTTCCCCCATATCATGTATTATATGCATATGTCTGTTTAGGGAATTTTATTCCGATCAATATACAACCAAAAATAACTGTGTGCAACAAGTATAATCTTGACAAACATAACAAAAGTAAAAATATTTCGTGTGTGTTTGACGCTCACTGATATGTTCCAGCGTTGTTTTATATTTGTCGCTATTCTAACTTACGCTTTGTTGATATTTTTTACCTATGGGCACATAGAACATTCTATTGCGAATACATTGACATGAAAATGAATGACGTACATAGAAAATTAATGTCATGAGAGTGAAATAAGTATAAACTTTCAAAGCGCTGTGCGTCGTCCCGTCACCGATACCGGGTAACAATTTCACCACTTCCCACACTCTTGCGGGCGGGCTGCATCAATATTCAACGCTTATATTCATATCACCGTGTTGGGAATTTCATTGCGAGTCCATTGATACCAAAATTAACGCTGTAGAACAAGTGTGGAGGTGATTATAATCCCAAGAGTAAAAACATTTTGTTGCTGATGGGCGCTCACGGCGAGTCATCTACGTAGTTATTTATTTGGTGCTGGTATCCCTATATGTTTCGTGACTTATTTTACTAATGTTCTTCTAGAGAATTTTATTGCAAACACGTTGGTGCCAAAATGAAATACGTAGCATGAGAACTAAGGTCAGGAGAGTAAAAAGAGTATACACATTTTTGTTTTTACGCCGAAAGTGTTAAGGAAGTGAATATGTAACATACTGCACTTAATTTCAAATAAATAAATATATTCAGTAAATAGAAAATTTCTAAACTTTAAAAAATTACATTACAATATTTTACTGAAGCGAGTATATTTAAAACAAATTTTTCTGGGGGGAGCCCCGTCGGCTCCCCGGAGCTATCCCAGGCTGATATGCTAATGTCAGACTTTGGCATCAGTCATGTGTATGGAGTTCTTAGGCCTACCGGGGACCACGGCCAGAACTGGGCCCCCTCAGAGAGGCAAGGGGAGCAATGGCCTATAGAAGCCCCCGTGTAGTTGGAAGCATTCTGTGTCTGCCATCGACCGGAACAGGCACCCAGAAAGGTAAGCGCCCCAAAACAAACCCCTATTCTGGTTAAAATTGCTACCAAAAACCGAACTAGTGGATAGAACTCCCCAACCGAAAACAAGCAAACTAGTGTGACGTCACACACCGCCGCGCCGCTGTCTGCGCAGCTCCCCCCTCCCCGGGAGGGTGAAGGGGGAGCCCCAGACCCCCCGCGCCGGCTACCCACACCTCAGTTCTTGAGGCTGATGCTATAGGCGATGGTCGTGTGCTCTGGCTCCGGTGTCGCTACTGCACTGTGCTTTGCGTGTGGTGTTGGTTTTTTGGGTGCGAGAGCCAGGAGTTATCTTCAGTACTCGGGCTGCATGCGCCTAGGGCTGCCTTCCCTAGGTGCCCTTTAAGTACTGCCCTTGGGGCTTGGGGCCACCTTCCACAGGCTCCTCGGGGTCTGCCTCTGCTGGTCCGTTTTACCTTTCGGTTTTTCGGCCGCCTGTTGGGCTCTTGGGTGTTCTGTTCTCCCTTGTTACCGGCAGGTAAGAGGCAGTTTGCACTGGTAGGGGCGCAGGGTGCTGCTCAGCTTGTATTTCCCGACATCGCGGCCGGCTCTGTTCCTTGGGGTTCGCTGTCCTCTTGCGGGGTTTTTTTTTTTTTTTTGTTTTTGCCTGGTGGGGGGTTCTGTCATTTTCTTCAGTTTGCTTTTGCCCTTCCACTGTTCTCCTCGGTGGCGCCCCCTGCTAGGTCCCCGTGAGTGTACACGTCCCTGGGGTTCAGCTTTAGAAGTTTGCTTGGTAGTTTTGGGCACCGGTTTGCAGCACCCTGCCTGGGACTACCTGAGCGCGAGTCCTCTTAAAGTAAACGCTCAGGACCCTGGGAATCCCCTAGGGGGCGCGTGGGTCCGATGGATGTGACCCCAGAGTCCCCACTCGCTGTGTGCGAGTTTGAGGGTTGCTCGGTCCCCTTGTCTCGGGGTGACCCTCATTGTTTTTGCCTCTGCCACGCTGCCTGTTGGGTCGGTGATACTTTCGACCCTGAGTCCTGTGAGTGTTGCTGCTTGCTTGTGACTCAATTTACCCAATCCTCTGATGATTCTATTCGGGTACAGGCGGCGCGTGCGTTGCAGTCTAGGTTTCGTCTGCTGCAACGCGCTCGGTTGGTTGCTTCCCCGGATGCCCCGGGGCTGCCCCGCTTTGCTTTTCGAGACCCGGACTTGGGGGTGGGGGTCGCTTCGATCCTGGTTCAGTCCGCACCTCCTCGTCCTTCCCCTGTGTTGCTTTGGGTCGGCGGTTGCAGCCAGTTGTCTCGGCTTCGAGTTGAGGAGTGAGCGACGACCGCCTCCCGGGTAAGTCCCTCTTTTTTCTGTCTGTGGGTAGTTAGCTCAGGGGAGCCGACGGGGCTCCCCCCAGAAAACCAGCGTTGAATGTAATGAAACGCCATTTTCTGGGTGAGTCCTGGAGGCTCCCCGGCATCCCTCCCTCCCTCCGGTCGGCGGTTTTTCGCGTTTTTGACATCCAGCCTCAAGAACTGAGGTGTGGGTAGCCGGCGCGGGGGGTCTGGGGCTCCCCCTTTCCCCTCCCGGGGAGGGGGGAGCTGCGCAGACAGCGGCGCGGCGGTGTGTGACGTCACACTAGTTTGCTTGTTTTCGGTTGGGGAGTTCTATCCACTAGTTCGGTTTTTGGTAGCAATTTTAACCAGAATAGGGGTTTGTTTTGGGGCGCTTACCTTTCTGGGTGCCTGTTCCGGTCGATGGCAGACATAGAATGCTTCCAACTACACGGGGGCTTCTATAGACCATTGCTCCCCTTGCCTCTCTGAGGGGGGCCCGGTTCTGGCCGTGGTTCCCGGTAGGCCTAAGAACTCCATACACATGACTGATGCCAAAGTCTGACATTAGCATATCAGCCTGGGATAGCTCCGGGGAGCCTCTGGGACTCACCCAGAAAATGGCGTTTCATTACATTCAACGCTGGTTTTTTTTACACAAAATTTCTTATGATATTATTTTCCCATAGTAAAAAGAGATGTAAATATCCAAATAGAATTAAGAGTGCACTGTACATTATATATAATTAAATACAGAGAAAAACTAATGGTAGTTTACCAACTCTTGGCTTTTTAAATTTATAAATAATTTGAAGTGCATAAAGCTTTTTTTCATGTGACTGAGAGAGCAAATTTATTTATTGTATCAACGTTACTTAATCATAAAATGTATATTAAAACCATTTTGGATCAAATGACAAAATTCGTCATGAAACAAGTGTCAAAATTCATCCAATATTTTTTAAATAAAAGCAGTCGCCAAAAATATTAACGTTCACGTTCATATGGAAAAACAACCAAAACTTACTTGCGGTGTGTCTGCACCTCCACTCAGGTGAAGTTTATTCATCAAGAAATTCTGAAGCATACTCATGAATCCTTCCTTATCTTCCTCCCCCTCACTCCCATCGTAGTCCTCATCCTCGTAGTCCTCATCACTGTATTCCTCATCACTATCTTCCACCTCCAGCTTTGCGCTGGGGTCTCTCATCCCACCAATAGCACCTTCACACTCCCCAGTTCCTGCTGCAAGAATAGTTTATTGTTATCTCTCTCCCATGAACCTAACTCACTCAGCTGTTTCTAATAATACTGTACAACATTTTATAATAAAGCATTTTATTCTTGAAAGAACACTTACATTTGAAGATATTTCTCATTGGAATAAATCTGTATTCAATACACTTAAAAAGAAAGTTGCCATTAGCAATATTTATGACTTATTTCATGGAAATGTCATGTCAATTACCTTGATAAAATCTTAATTCTGTATTCTATGGTCTTGCAATTCCCTAAAAATTGGCAATTTCTGAAATATTAATTCTTAATCCTTTCAGAATTGTATATAAACTTAACCTTCACATTGACGGAAAAGGGTTGGAGCAAGGATGTCTTCACACATCTTGATAAACAAAACCTGTCATGTTATATACAAACTGCAATACATGTACAATACTCACTCGCACTTTCATCTTTCTTTTCTGTAGGAGCATCTTTCTCCACTTGGCCTTCTGCCACCTTGGGGGTTTCCTTTTCAGTTGGCTGCTCTGCAGTCTTGCTTCCTTCACAGTCGGCCATTGTTACACACACCTTTAGAGATGAGAAATCCCTAGGATTAAGCTTAGGAAATTTCGTATACATATGTCACAAATGGTATAACTGATAGAGAGGTAGGAGAAAGCAGTCAGTTTGCCACTGTGTCCTAGTATGTCCATAACCAGAAACATACAGAACTGTAGTCCGCAGGCAGATAACAGTGCACCTGACTGATATAGGAAAATGCTCTTCATAAATTCCCTTAGCTGATTTTTGTTTTTGTTTAGCCTATTGCATGTAGCAAAATAAGTATACAGTATAAATGCTTTCCAAAACATGTATTCAGTTGCTTATTTAGCATTCATTAAAGCAAGGTAATTACCTAAGTGTAATTACCTAAGTGTGAGATGACAGGATGAGAGCTACGCTCATGTGTCCCGTCTCTCTAGCACTGTCATATAACGCTTTGAAATTACTGTACTGACGGTTTTGGCCTCCACCACCTTCAACCAACCACCACCTTCAGGTTTAACCATTCTGATGCTATTCAATTGCAATCTGGCAAAAAATCCATGCTCCCTATCAATATTATTAACTTTTCCAAATTGTGTAATGTTCGACCAGGTCCGCAAATCCGTCTCTGGGAACGGATTCCATTTGAAAAAGGAGGTAATGCATCACTGTATATGCCCTTTCTACTGCAACTCACCGCAGAACTTGTCTTCTTAAAATGTTTATAATTTGACCACGAAGAACGATCAAGGCCAACAATTACTTTGAATCACATAGTTAAGCTGTTTCCTGAATGGAACATAAGAGTCTTGACTACATTCAAGCTTAGCATCACATGTAGTAATGTAGCCTGTTGACCAAACCACACACACTAGAAATTGAAGAGATGATGACGGTTTGGTCCGTCCTGGACCATTCAGTAACATAGGTTTATATAAATAAGGATGCACTTATAACATTATTATATTATACATAAACACATTCATTGATCTGGCGAACAGGCATCTCAAGCATGAGAGCCCAATTAACCGCTAACACGGCTCCAATTGCAATCTGCAATTACCTCCCGTGCTCTAATCTCGATAAATATTTTTCCCCACTTAATTTGTGAATTTTTTTTTAGCTAAGCACACCACAATGTAAGTCTTTGAAATATCTGTGCCTTTTAAAAGTTAAGAGTCACTCCTATCTGTCTAAGAACTGAGCAATAAACTAAAATAATTAGAGAATATAATTTACAATACTTATCAAAATATGTTGCATTGATCCACTTAAGCTAAGGTCTTGAAATGTCTCATGGGCATTACAGCTCTAATTTGTTGTCATGATAGATTTTGGTAAATTTAAGTGTAATACAGAGAACTTGAGCCTGATGTGGTACACGGAGAGACTCCCTCTTCCTGCCCTGTGCTTATAGCTACTATAATTACTTTGAATGTAAAAAAAAATAATAATAATAATAATAATGTTGCTCTGAAAATAATTCAGGTTTTGCACTAGGCCTAGTATTGTATATGTATGTATTAAGCCTAATATGGTGCTTAATAGACCTAGGATTGGTTAAGTTTTACGTTTGGTTAGGTTCTTTAGTTACTGTTTAACTTATCACAATGCCATTTGAAGTATTTCAATTGTATCAAATATGAATTTTTGTTGATGTATAACTGATCAGTTTAGTGCATTCAACCCAATACATATATTTTTTAACACAAGTGAGTACTGTACTGGAAAAGACTATTACTGACTCCTGTTAACAGGCTGAGAGCTTTTCCTTCCCATAGCACATGGTTAACTTTACTCTGTTAGTTTGCCCTCAAACATGACCTATTAATTTGTATCAAGTTAGGTACCAAGCTAGTGCTAGGTGAACAAGGGAGAAACGTTAAGGATTGGCATCTAATCAATCCTTCCTGACCAGGACTCGAACCCAGACCAAATCACTTGCAGGACAATTACTTCAGTGTAATTACCAAAGTAATTACAGGATGAGAGCTACACTCCTGGTGTCCCAGCTTCCCAGTACTTGTCTTTCCAGGAGTGCGGGAGTGTGTGTGTGACCACTGTGACATCGGCGCATGCCTGTTCTAAGTATCTCTTTAGAAGATATTTTGAACAAATATCTAAGTCCCAGTCTTAGTGGTCTAAGTGGTCCCGGGTTCGATCCCGGGGGCTGGCGAGAAACAATGGGCAGAGTTTCTTTCATCCTGATGCTCCTGTTACCTAGCAGTAAATAGGTACCTGGGAGTTAGTCAGCTGTTATGGGCTGCTTCCTTGGGGGGGTGGAGGCCTGGTCGAGGACTGGGCCGCGGGGACACTAAAGCCCCGAAATCATCTCAAGATAACCTCAAGACAGGATGTATCTAAGAGATAAAACTTGTTCCATCTCTTTTGGAGAATGGGGTGAAATAAAAAGCAGTCTATAGTGTATCACCACAGTGTAGCTGGCTAAGAAAGCTTTCAACAGATACAATACTGAAGACTAAGAAATAATGTATGTGCAGTCCAAATTACTTTAATTTATTATGACTATTGTATTGGTCATAATTATCAATTCATGTATTATGTATAATGCTCATCAGTGCAATACCAGTCTATTTATTGCATACAGTAGATATTTGTTGCTCAGTGATCCCTGAAATGCAGGAATAATTAAATGTCATCCACTTAATTACAAAAAAAAAATAGTGAAAATGCTTCTTACTTTACTCTGTTGTTGGTGTAGCACATTATAATATTGTTATCAAAAGCCAGTTTTCCCACCACTGCCCATGCTCACATGAATCCTAGTGTATGTCCATACAACCTTATTTACAATTTGCACTTTTCGTCATTTCACAAGAATTACTGTGTGTGCGAAACCTAATATACATTCCCTATTACTGTACAGTCAAACTGATAGCCATGATACAGTTTCATCTTGGAAGCAGCTTCTGCCTCATCTGGATCAGTGCTATTTGTTTTTTTTAATATGAGATCTTACATTCTTGTAAAGCCACTAGCACTCATAGTATTTCAGGCAGGTCCTTAATCCAAATTTTCCCCGGAATACGACCCACCTAAACGTTTATCGAGCAGGTATCCATTTACTGCTGGGTGAACAGAGGCTACAGATAAGGATTATCATCCCTGGCCAGGATACAAACCCAGGCCAAAGTGCTCGCAAAGCGCTGGGCAAGTGTCTTTCCACTATACCACGGGGATAGCATGGGATCTTTCTTTTCTCAGCTAAGATGATGTAGCCTAGATACATGGTGTTTATGTGTTTAATAGTTACAAAATATTTTGAGTGTAGTATACCCAGAGGTATGAATAATTACTATACTGTATCAACAACATAGTTGATATATTTAAAGGGTCCCGGTAGTACTGTACAGTCGTCTTATTTTCAATCGAGAATTCTGGGTTCAAATCCCGGTCGAAACAGAAATGGTTGGGCGCATTTTTTATCACCTAAAGCTCCTGTTCACCTAGCAATAAGCAGGTACTCAGGAGTTAGTCAGCTTGTTGTGGGGTTGCTTCCTGGGCGTGGTCAGTAATTCAAACGGGGGTGGGGGGGGGGGGTTGTTCTTCGATATAAGTTTAATGTGTATGAATACACGCTGGCTGCCTGTTCCCCGACACAATGCATTATTAATTTTTTATTGGACCTTCTAGGCACATTAGCAAGACAATGATTAATACATTGGATATGGTAGTGCTGAAGACACCTCAATACACTGTGAACTAGACACTGTAGCGCAGGCATGTCAAACGTGTGGCCCGAGGACCGCATGTGATCCCTTGCAAGCTTCCGTTACTGAAAGTTATGAACTCGGTCGAATGATCACCATGAGTGGGAAATCTTACGGTGAAGGAGATTTTGTAAAGCAATGTCTTGTAAAACTGGCTCATTGTATCCAGAGAAAGCACACTTATTCAAAGATATTTCATTAACCAGGAACACAGTTGCTGAACGGATTGATTATATGTAAGGTGATTTTAAACAACAGTTGAAGGCCGCCTAATCAAGATTTGAGCATTTTTCTATTGCTATTGATGAGACCGTTGATATCACTGAAATAGCACAGCTTGCGGTCTTCATCATGACCTATGACAGTGAATTTAATATTTATAAAGAACTGCTTGAACTGATCACCATGCATAATACTACAATAAGCTAGGACAGCTTTGAGAAAGTCGAGCAGGTTCTACATGACTATAGTTTGGATTTGAGTAAACTTGCATGCTTATCTACCAACGGTGCTGTGAATATGGTGGGCAGATATAATAGTGTTGATGCCAAGTTATGAACAAAAATAAAAAACTTGCATCCAGATTCATCATCTGCACATTTTCACTGCATTATTCTCATCAGCAAAATTTATGTTCAAGGATTTTAAAATTGGATCATGTGCTTAGTTTGGTCACAAAGACAATGAACTATATCAGAAGCCGTGCTCTCAACCACCGCCAATTCAGCCAGTTGTTGGCAGATATGGATAATCAATTTACCAATGTTCTATTCTACACAGAAATCTGTTGATTGTCATGTCACAAAGTACTGAGAAGATTTTATTTGCCAAGACAAGAAATAATTGTGTTTTTGGAGATGAAAGATCAAAACACAGAGGAAATAAAAGATGAAAGTTGGCCCCAGGATCTGGCTTTTGCTGTGGACATCACTGCACAATTAACCGATCTTAATTTGAAATTACAAGGTAAAAACAAACTCATCACTCAGATGTATGATGATATAAAGTGCTTCATTACAAAACTAAGCTTATGGAGGTCACAGTTGTCAAATGAAATCTTAGTTCATTTTCCTACTTACCTTACCTTGAGGTAAGGTAAGGTTCACAGTCCTAAGTGCAAAGAGCCGAAAAAACGCTTCCAATACTGAGTCTGTACTTAGCTTTGCTAAGTACAGACTTAGCAAAGTACAACAAAGTACAACTTAGACTTTGCTAAGTACAACACTTGCCCTACTTAGCTTTGCTAAGTATAACAGTCACCTGGAATTGTTATCAAAGGAATTTCAGGAAAAATTTTGTGATTTCTCATCTTTTGAACACCACTTTACATTATTCTCAGCACCATTCACCTTTTATATTGCCAAGGCAGGAGAAAGCCTGCAGATAGAACTATTAGAAATGCAGTCAGATTCTACACTCAGAGCAAAGTATCTTATTGTGGGGATACCTGGTTTCTTATCATACCTTCAGGAAAAGTTTAAAAACTTTAGAAAGTTTACCACAAGGATTATGGGAATGTTTGGTTCTACCTATGTGTGTGAACAATTATTTTCCTTCGTGAAATCAACAAAAATCTTCTCAGAGAACAAGGCCGACTGATCAACACTTCTGACTGATCAACATTTGACTGATCAACACTTCTGACTGATCAACATTTGACTGATCAACATTTGACTGATCAACACTTCTGACTGATCAACATTTGACTGATCAACACTTCTGACTGATCAACACTTGTCATTTCTGATCAAAGTGGGAACTACACAGACATTTCAGCCAGACATGGCAAAAATTGTCATTAAAAAAAGGTGTCAAGCCTCAGGACAAAACACTAAAAATGATTGAATAATTGTAAATAAATTTTCATTTTGAACTGATGTAATTTTTGTACAATGTATTTGTTGCTGTTGCATAGAAGTCTATGTTGCCCTTTAAAAAAAAAAAAATTATTTTGTTAAACTACAGTACAGTACGTCATTACTTTGCATTCATGAATGTGGCAAGCCGCTAAACCATTTATATTCACATTGTATATTTCTAAGTTTAAGTAAGAAAAATATTCGGCAATAGTTTGTATTAAATGACTTCCGTTGTTGTGTGGCCCTCATGACAACACAAATGTGACCCATATGGCCCTCGGAGGGCATCCTGAGCTAGACATACCTGCTCTAGAGTGCCCAGTTCACAGTCTATTGTTACACTCCGGTGCCCTTAAAACAGTGCACATACACTACCTTCGATATTGGGATGCTGCACTTCCCTTGAATACAATCTCTGCTAATTATCCAACAAAAAATTAATCTTCCTTTTAACTGGAGAACCGATTAGTGTCTGGAAATGGCCGCCGGACACTACAATTAGTCTATACAACTCTCCACCTCGCTCAGTATGATGCAAGTGTACTCACCTAGTGTGTGTGTCTCTCACCATGAGACTCACTGACACAATTGTCACAAAAGAAAAAAAAACAATTGCAAAGCGGTTCTTTGTGTTAAGACTTTTTTGTTGGCCAGACAAACAGCAACCTTGGCTGCTGGAGCTCAAGTCAACCTATCTTAACATATAAATATTTCCTTCATAATTTAAGAAAATACATTACAAATGCTACCTAAAAACACTTAGATTCATAGTATTAAAGCTGATCACATTGGTGTAGCATGACAATAAGGCTAAAATAAATAAACTTTCACAAATGGGGGGAGAGAGAGAAGAGAAGAGGGGGGGGGGAAAAAACAGAAAAAAAATATCTTTGCTTATATCTCACTGCAATAGAAGATGTGTCGTCCAATAACGGCAAGCTGGAACGGGCTAAAAAAAATGGCGATAAAGGCCTGTAGAGAAGCTATATTATGGCATGTGTGGCCAGAGGGACACAGCACACGCAGTCTCTGCCACACAGTATCCTTCACAAAGAGGAATTTCCCCCCCATCCCCCCTAATGGTGGGGCCGCCCTGATTCCCCCACCCCACCACACTTCCTAAATTATTTCCCACTCCAGCTACCCTCCTCCACCTTGACAGTCGGATTAAAAGGCCGCCTGGGCACTGGTAGAGGGCGCCGTGTAGCGCGGGGAGGGCCAACTGGTAATTAGACAGACCTGAAGAAGCAGCCGGTGACAGAGGAGTGAGCTACCGAGCCTCGACCACCTGAGGGAGAGTTGTGTTGTTATTGTTGTTGCCCAACTTGGGGCGCTTACACGCCGACACCGACGCTCCCTCATAGAAAACGAGATCATGATGTATAAATTCAAATTGTTATTTGTTTTCACTGATCTCCACTATATATTTTTTAGTCAAAAATCCAGATTTTCTTTATAATGAATTGTGGGGTTCAGTCCCTCAGCCCATTATGTGCCTCTGTAACCCTTTCCACTACCTCCCCCAAGATGGGTATAGGGTGCATAATAAATGAACTAAACTGACTAACTCTTTATAATGATTAACTTGGAGTATATAATTTAATCTAAATATGTGTACAAATATTATGTACTCGAAACGATTGATCGAATCGCCCCCTCCCCCCTCAATATTTTCATTTATTTCCCCTAGGTAGCAAGTCTTCAGCAGTATTAGTTAATTAATTAATAATCCTTGGTTAATTCAATGACAAACTTAATTTAATTTTTGCATTCCATGAAGAGGAAGACCAGTGGCTGCCACACTCCTATTGGCCCACCCCTCCACCTATAAATCCTTGAGTCATTATGGCTATTTGTATATAAATATATGTGGAAAAGGCCCCGTATTAGTTTATGAATACAAATTGGCCGCCTACTCATCTAAGTTTTGTGAAGTTAACTCGTAATATCTTTGGTGACGTTCCCTCTTGGGAGAAAGGGCGTGTGAGGGGGGGGTGGGTGGGGTTGATGGGGGAGGTTAATGGGGTGTATTGGTGGGGGAGGAGAGGGAGGTCTCCATCTTGGAAGTGTTGGTGGGGGTCTTGTGGGGGTGAGAGAAGTTGCTTACAACATCCATTGCGCCGAGGTTAATGCCACGACAAATTATTTTTTTTATAAGTATACAAATGGTAAATCTTGAAATGAAGTCACTATATATATATTTAATGATTTGTGTGTAGGCTTGTCTCCGTCAGTCACTTTGGGTGTAGGCAGTGTTGGTGTTGGTGATGGCCGCCTGTGGCGCATGTGGGCCGCCATGGTGGGCCCGGCCATGCGGTCGCCGTCTTGCTCTTACCAGAGTGACGGGTGCCCCCTCTCGCACACACACACACACACACCTCTATCCCTCTCGCACACACACACACACATCCTCTCACACACATCTCTATCCTCTATCCTCTCTCGCACACACACACACACACCTCTATCCTCTCACACACATCTCTATCCTCTCACACACCTCTATCCTCTCTCGCACACACACACACACCTCTATCCTCTCACACACATCTCTATCCTCTCACACACATCTGTCCTCTCTCGCACACACACACCTCTATCCTCTCACACACACCTCTATCCTCTCACACACATCTCTATCCTCTCACACACATCTGTCCTCTCTCGCACACACACACACACACACCTCTATCCTCTCACACACACCTCTATCCTCTCACACACATCTCTATCCTCTCACACACATCTCTATCCTCTCACACACATCTGTCCTCTCTCGCACACACACACACACCTCTATCCTCTCGCACACACACACATCCACACACACACCTCTATCCTCTCTCGCACACACACACACACCTCTATCCTCTCACACACATCTCTATCCTCTCACACACATCTGTCCTCTCTCGCACACACACACACACCTCTATCCTCTCACACACACCTCTATCCTCTCACACACATCTCTATCCTCTCACACACATCTGTCCTCTCTCGCTCACACACACACACCTCTATCCTCTCACACACACCTCTATCCTCTCACACACACACCTCTATCCTCTCACACACACACCTCTATCCTCTCACACACACACACCTCTATCCTCTCACACACCTCTACCCTCTGTCACATATTACCCTCGGAAATACAGCTTAAACTTCGTATTTTGTACTGTTTATTAAGCTGTTTGTACGTTTCATACAATATCCGTGAGTGTATGAAATACATCAGTTTCACATAAAGTTTTACCCGCTTCACTAAGTATTGTTTCCTATTGAATTATGTACAATACATGATTATATATTATGTTTGCAAGGGGTATATTACATTACTTAGAGTTAACATTTCTGTGAAACATTGTGTTGTATATTAAAGTGGTGCGCGGGGCGTGTGTTTACTACTCCTCCTGTCCCACTCTCCTCCTGTCCCACTCTCCTCCTGTCCCACTCTCCTCCTGTCACCCCTTCTCCTGTTCCCCCTCCTCCTGTCACCCCTTCTCCTGTCCCCCCTCCTACTGTCACCCCTTCTCCTGTCACCCCTTCTCCTGTCCCCCCTCCTCCTCCTGTCACCCCTCCTCCTGTCACCCCTTCTCCTGTCCCCCCTCCTACTGTCACCCCTTCTCCTGTCACCCCTTCTCCTGTCACCCCTCCTACTGTCACCCCTTCTCCTGTCACCCCTTCTCCTGTCCCCCCTCCTCCTCCTGTCACCCCTTCTCCTGTCACCCCTTCTCCTGTCACCCCTTCTCCTGTCCCCCCTCCTCCTCCTGTCACCCCTCCTCCTGTCACTCCTTCTCCTGTCACCCCTTCTCCTGTCCCCCCTCCTCCTCCTGTCACTCCTCCTGTCACCCCTCGTAGGGGGTGGATAGCGCGCAGGATTCGTAATTCTGTGGCGCGGGTTCGATTCCCGCACGAGGCAGAAACAAATGGGCAAAGTTTCTTTCACCCTGAATGCCCCTGTTACCTAGCAGTAAATAGGTACCTGGGAGTTAGTCAGCTGTCACGAGCTGCTTCCTGGGGGTGGAGGCCTGGTCTAGGACCGGGCCGCGGGGACACTAAAGCCCCGAAATCATCTCAAGATAACCTCAAGATAACCACCCCTTCTCCTGTCACCCCTTCTCCTGTCCCCCCTTCTCCTCCTGTCCCCCTTCTTTGCGGTTACATTGCGTTGATTTCGGGGCTGGTAAATTCTTGCAGGCTTGGTCAGGGACCACGGCCCGGTCCCTTACCGGGCCTCCTGGTTGTTGGATTGGTTAACCAGGCTGTTTGTCGCGGCTGCTCGCATGAGTCTAATTATAGATTCTTCCCAGTCAGCCCTGGTTCTTCCACTTCACAGCCTGGTTGATCAGGTAATCCCTTGGAGGTGTTTATCGAGTTCTCTCTCTTGGACACTGTGAGGGGTCGGCCAGTTATGTCCCTTATGTGTAGTGGAAGCGTGTTGAACAGTCTCGGGCCTCTGATGTTGATAGTTCTCTTTTGAACACTGTGAGGGGTCGGCCAGTTATGTCCCTTATGTGTAGTGGAAGCGTGTTGAACAGTCTCGGGCCTCTGATGTTGATAGTTCTCTCTTGAACACTGTGAGGGGTCGGCCAGTTATGTCCCTTATGTGTAGTGGAAGCGTGTTGAACAGTCTCGGGCCTCTGATGTTGATAGTTCTCTCTTGAACACTGTGAGGGGTCGGCCAGTTATGTCCCTTATGTGTAGTGGAAGCGTGTTGAACAGTCTCGGGCCTCTGATGTTGATAGAGTTCTCTCTTGAACACTGTGAGGGGTCGGCCAGTTATGTCCCTTATGTGTAGTGGAAGCGTGTTGAACAGTCTCGGGCCTCTGATGATGATAGTTCTCTCTTGAACACTGTGAGGGGTCGGCCAGTTATGTCCCTTATGTGTAGTGGAAGCGTGTTGAACAGTCTCGGACCTCTGATGTTGATAGTTCTCACTTGAACACTGTGAGGGGTCGGCCAGTTATGTCCCTTATGTGTAGTGGAAGCGTGTTGAACAGTCTCGGGCCTCTGATGTTGATAGTTCTCTCTTGAACACTGTGAGGGGTCGGCCAGTTATGTCCCTTATGTGTAGTGGAAGCGTGTTGAACAGTCTCGGGCCTCTGATGTTGATAGTTCTCTCTTGAACACTGTGAGGGGTCAGCCAGTTATGTCCCTTATGTGTAGTGGAAGCGTGTTGAACAGTCTCAGGCCTCTGATGTTGATCTCTCACAGAGCACCCACTGCACCTCTGCTCTTCACTCTCTCCCAATCCCCCTAAAGACAGAGAGAAACCTCCTCCTAAGGTCCCCCACCGTCAAGAAACTGTCGTACTAAAGTGCCCTTAACCTAACTTACCAGAGGACCCAAAACAGAAAATGTCATCATTACCATCCTGTATGTGATGGAGGACAGGCTACAGAGTTATATGATGTGTTACCAAATGAAGCCCAATGTTATTTTGGTTACAAAATTTACATTGGCACAACACAGCCTCTCTGTTTCAATCCCAGAACATGTTGAACATTCATTCACTCCACACCTATCAATCCTTTTTTAAATTAACGTCTTTATTATTCAAAAGTATATATGCAAAATATAGCTAAAAAAAAGCCCAACCACTTGGGGTGGAGGGTAAAGCGACGGTCTCGCTTCATGCAGGTCGGTGTTCAATCCCCGACCGTCCACAAGTGGTTGGGCACCATTCCTTCCCCCCGTCCCATCCCAAATCCTGATCCTGACCCCTTCCCAGTGCTATATTGTCGTAATGGCTTGGCGCTTTCCCTGATAATTCCTCCTCCTCACTCATTCTCTTCTGCTACTTACAAACCTTATTCCTAAATTCTAATCCTGATTTGAAACTTCTCTCTGATAGATGTAATAGAATCCATTAGCACCACACGAGAAATAATTATCTTTGACATCTCTTAGAGTCAGACTAAAACTGTGATAAAACACTTCATGCAAATAAAATGATAGTGTATGGAACCCACTCACTAATTAAAGTAACGCAGTTAATCCAACTTATATTTTATTTAAAAGTAGGACCAAAAAGTACCTA